AATGCTGTCTTTGACCCCACCAAAAGCCTCCTGATGTTCGGTGTTCCAACACCATTCCGAGTCCTTTTCCATTCCGCATCCTTTTTAAGGAGATTGGATAATGGCCGGGCCATCTCTGCTTATTTACGTTGTACTTGTGCAAGTAGTTGGCGAGACCAAGCCACTTACGCAAGTCTCTCTGGGTCTTTAAAATCGGCCAGCCTTAACGGGATCCGCTCGAAGGCCACGTTTCCAATGAAACTCCCTAATAAGGGAATTTCTTCCGCGCCAAAGATGCACTTGTTTGTATTGGCGTACAGTTTGTTCATGCGCATGCACTCGAGCATCGCTCATAAATGGGCGATGTTGTAACGGGGTTACAAGTACCCTGGCAACAGGGTTGTGTCACACGGGATGGGCATGGTGTGATTGCACCCAAACAAAAATACGGTACGGGGCTGGATAGCCAGTAGTAATGCATGTATTTAGATTTTACTATACATATTTATGAAAACTAAACAGTAAAATTAGGCGGCTTTGCTGCAGATAAAAATAAATAAAGTCAGTTTTGGATTTAAACCGAAGAGTTAATTAGTCTTGGGTTAATTTCTCTTGGAGTTAGCGGATTGCGATCCGCTAAACTCGTACTTGTTCTAAGAATAGATTGAAAGGTCGGTGACTTAACTCATGCTTCCTCAAAGCGCAAAGCTACGGCAGCCCCGCTGCACTTGGTAGCACTTGAAGTCAGTCCACGCCTGAGTCGTTAAGACCGATCCTCTGTGAGGATGGAACAATTTTCCTTTTTGCTCAAGGGCATGCAGGTCGGGCTTAACAAGCTGATGTCCTTGCTTGGCCCTGAGGCCGTGCAACACTTTGAGGCCCCGAGGCAATCGATGCGCGTATACAAGCATTTCTAAATTACAAAAACGCGCTGCTTGAACACCTGCAGCAGAAGATGTCTGCATCATTCGCGTCTATGACGCCCCGTCGGTGACGGGTGATTCATCGCACCCTAAGCCGATCATGGTGAGCATTAAGGTCTTTGAGGAGAGGGATGGAAAGAATCTTCTGGTCTGGATGAGAGAGGTCGAGATGGCCATCGCATCCGCCATGCTCCAGACCGAGCAACAGCGCGTGGCGCTAGCCATCTCAACGCTCGGTGGTCGAGCGCGAGAATGGGCACTGACGTGCGGCACTTCAGACGGAGCTGAAATTGCAGCTCTCGCGAGTGTTCTCGCCGCCTAATCAGGCATATCGCGTACTAGCGCGATTCCTCGCCGCCCAACAGGGTGACAAGGTATGGGTGGACTTTGTCCAAGAGATGCGTACTCTCATTGCCTGGATGGCAGCAGATCCTCTTCCGGAGGCGGTCACAGTGACCGTCTTTATGAAAGGCCTCCGCACTGGCGTGGCTAGAATGGAAAACTTCTATGTGCATCCATCTTCATTTGAAGAGGCGGCGAACGTGGCATTGAATGCCGAATTCAATTTTAAGTCGGCACGACTTGATTGGAATGCAGACTCTAACAGCTCGTCGAGCCGGCCTGTGGCCATGGATTTTAGCTATGCTGAGGACGAGGGAGCAGAGCTCCGAGCGGCCGAGTGGCACGCAAGCACACGACGGGGTTTTGTCTGTGTTGACACCCGTCACCTTTGGAATGGTCGCCCCCTGCGCAAGGCGCGTCAAGGTTCTTCGAAACATAGCCCCAATGCCTACCAGTTTTGTCCGACGCCGGGAAACGACACCACCCAATAGGCGCGGGTCGACCTACTGGGGAAGAACTGAGTTTTGTTGAGCCTCAGGTAGGTAGAGGTCAACAGGGCTCAGCCCCGAAGGGCCTTGTGCTCTTGAAAACGGAACATGTATGCAAGACGGGCTTGCTGGTCGTGGAGGCGACCTTATAGGGCCTCGAGAAGCCACGGGCGACCCTCGTCGATTCCTGGGCGTCGGGAAATTAATCCCATCGCTCCACGATGGAGGGAAGTCAGCTGTCTACTGAGGCGCTGAAAGCGCATCATCACTATTTGCCTAGCAACGGGAACGCGTGTTACAGTCCCGAAGGTCCCTGTGGACCTCGGAGTCGATTTTATTGACTTTGATAGCGAGAAACGCTTTTTAGTCTTAGACTTGGATGCAAGTTATGACCTGAACACCATGAGCCATGGATTGATTGCCGGTCAAAGACCTTGGGTGCTACGCGCACGTCGCCTGGTGGAGCTTTGGCGAGTCATGAACCCACCTCTGCTAGGAGACAAAAGCGCTATT